TCGCATTCAATTCAGAAAACAAAATTTATGCACCTGCCATTTACAATAGTTGTTACGACGCCCATATTTTCCTAGACCGATGGCATCAACATCAGCAGAATGTAGGGATGCTAAAGCTCTTGCAGTTGCTTGGTAAAGTAGCCTCCTCCTCTCAGGTGCTACACCCTGATCAAAAGCAAATTTAACAAATAATAATCAAATAATCAAATTTAAATAGGGCAAAACAAAAAATGAACCGCCACTAAATCTATAACACCAATTTAATACGAACATTAAGATAACTTGACAGAGTAAATTGGTACCGGAAGCTTGGGGTCGAGAAAAATGCGCCCTTCCAGAAACTCCATGATGTAAAAGGGGGTTCCGATAACTCTTGAATCGGTACACAAACAGTAAACTTTAGGAACCGGAACCAGTGTATGAGTACCCAATGCCTGAAGAACCTGTAATTCGAAACAGAAAGGATTAAAAAAATGAACCTTTTTCAGCCAACAGCAAATCATCTAACATAAATTCTTTAATTTTGATTACTAAGCAACATCAGTCACACAAAAAAAAAAAAAACTACTTTTCCTACAATTTCTAGCCAACCAAACAGAGCAGATAGGATTGTTGAGTCAGAAAATAACAAGGAGAGAAGAGGAAATCTGACCTGGAACTCTCTCTCGACGGCATGAGCAGACTGGAGCAACTTCCCCGGCGGCTTCTTCCTCAAAACGTAGCGTTTCAGAGACGCCCCCGATCCTGTCTCTACCTTATAAGTCGGATTGGATTGTCCATGCCCGAACTATCATTTCGTAATTCACAATCCGAAATCAAAATCCAGAAAATGCATGCACACAATACATATATATACACCTATATACACACAGCAAGAGAGAGAACCTTAGAGATAGTGAAATTGGAGGGAGAGGGGGGAAAGCCATGAACGTTGGCGGAGGCGTAGGATAGCAAGGCGTTGAGGTCGAAATCGAGAGGCGTACGGCCATGATCCATTTCGAACAAAGTTCAAACCTTTCGAATTAAATGGTGTCGTTTCAGTCTTCTTTTCCTTCGTCTGCTCTGGCTCAGGCGAAATTCAACGATAATTACATCAAAGCACCAGGAAAAACTACACGCTCTCGAGTACAGAATTAAGGTACTCGCCCCTGGTTTTCAGGGATTTATGCACGTGGCCGTTTTACGAGGTGCGTTGAATTTAGAGGGCGCGTGGCAGTAGGGACGAAACGCGAGTGAGAAAAGGATATACCGAAATAAGGAAGAAAGGACAAAGATGGCGATGCATTGGATCTCTTGTGAGAAAATGAAAGAAGGAAGCAGATGGAAGGGCTTGGGTTTAGGGACGTATTGTCTTTTAACCTAGCTTATTTAGCGAAAATTGGGTAGCGAAGATTAGGTGGCGAATATTGCATAATCCTAGTACATTGTTAGGACAAATTCTTAAAGCAAAATATTTTCCGGATTGGTCGTTTATGGAGGCTAAGCTGGGCAGAAGGTCCTTGTGGGGGTGGAAGGGCATCATTCAGGGGAGGGGGATACTGGACAGAGGTATGACATGGCGGGTTGGTGATGGTAGGTCTATTCGAGTTAGTCATGACCCTTGGCTTCCACAGCCTCACACTTCTAGAGTTTGATCAAAACATAATGAGATGTCGGTGATGGTGAGGTAGTTGATTGATTCAGAGGAGGGGGCTTGGAAGGTAGACTTGATTCGGCGTTGTTTTGAGGAGGAGGAGGGCAATCTTATTCTTGGTTTACCAATAAGTTTAGCGGGGTGTAAGGATAGAGTCATATGGCATTATTCTAGAAACGGGGATTATACCGTTCGTACGGGGTATGGAGTTGCCATAGAGATGCAGAAAAATGGGGAACTTGATAGGAAAGGGACGAGGGGTAGTAGTCGGCGGGCCGAGGTCGACCGTTGTTGGCAGAATGTTTGGAGGTTGGTAGTGCCAAATAAAATGATGTTTTTTATTTGGTGTTGCTGCAACAAAACCTTAGCAGTGCGGGTTAATCTTCTTCGACGACAAATGTGAGTGGACAATTCATGTGTTATGTGTGAAGCATCAGAGGAGATGGAGCAACATTTGTTTTTTGAATGCAAGTTCAGCTGTGTGTTGTGGTACTGCTGCTCTTTACAACTAGACATAAAGTCTATCACAAGGCAAGATTTTTGTGTCTTGGCAAGGGTTATATGCTCGATTTCATGATGAAGATAGACAAGAGGAGCTTTTGCAGGAGTGTGTTTTTGTTATGTGGAGAATTTGGAAAAGTCGAAATGAGATGGTGTTTAAAGGAGTGTTGACTAATCCCATGGAGGGGGTTAATTTGGTGAGGCAACAAATTATTGAATTCAGAGCATGCCATAATTCTAAGAAGCAAGTTGTCCATTGTGAGGATGGGGATGGTGCTATCTTTGCTAGACAATCAATTCGATGGAGGCGACCAAATTATGGTGTGCTGAAGATTAACCGTGACGGTGCATGGTGTGGGAAGACACTCAAACAAGGATATGGGAGGGTTATGAGGGACTTTGTCGAATTGCAGCAAGCGGAAGGTGTGGAATGAGGCCTATTTTTCAATAATGCGGTGAAGGCAGAAGCTGCTGTGATTCGTGCGGCGTTAATGGTATGTATTGGGATGGGTTGTGATGAAGTGGAGATTGAGTCTGACTCTCAAGTGATAATTAGTATGCTTAATGGGGAATATGTGGTAGATGCTACTTTGGAGTATTTTATCCATGATATTGACCATTTGGCGTCTCAATTAGGAGGGGTGAGGTTTGTGTTTGTCAAGCGAAATGGAAATGTCGTTGCTCATGTTGTAGCCTCATATGTTGCCTCGCATGGAGGTGATTTCCGTTGGGATGCTCTTGGTCCAGAGTTTTTATTTAATATTCTTACTGAAGATGTGAACGTTTCTATTAGAATTTAATAAAAGTTATCATTTGACAAAAAAAAACAAAAAGGATATATCGATTTGGGTACATTACGTCAAAAAGGGACATTTTACCAGTACGGTGGGCTCTACTATTATAATGATTTAATGTATTATCATATTATACGTCGTATTTAGAATATTAACGTCTATATATGTGATCACATTATACGTCGTATTTTGAATATTGACGTCTATCTATGTGATCAACTCCCAATTATAGCGTTAGTTCCTTAAATGTTAAGTGAGTCACCGACAAAATTCGAACTCACACCATCATGTAAGGGCATAATACTTTTTCACCACTGTGATAAAGGGTATGATCAACTCCCAACTTAACACTTCTAAATAGAATTGAAATTATAAAAAAATAAAAAAAATAAAAAGACAAAAAAATACCAACCCTACCACAGCCCAGCCCACCGGCTGCAACCCAAAAATCCAGTTTTCACTGTGAGACCCTCAAAGGAAGAATTTAAGTAACAAAAAACCCCAGTGTTCAATTCAAGTCCTAGATGTGAGTGACCAAATCTTCACAGGAATTTGGGGACTTGTGCCGTGTTCCATTGGTTGATACCATTGGGATTGAGAAGTGTAGAGAGTTTGCTATTCCCAAATTCCCCTTCTTCCAAACTTTTAAGGTGTTACTAATTTTTTCTTGAATTATATTATAGACAAATAAAATTTATGCACTTATTATCCTTTGCTTCAATCTCAGAGGATCCAATATTATGAAAACAGTCTGGATGAAAAATGAAAACTAAATTATGCTTTTCCGAAAAAAAAAAAAAAGAAAAAAAAAAAGAAAAACAAACGTGAAACCTTTGCCAATTCCACGATTCCATGACCCTCACACACCAAATAAGACAATGCAGTGCAACTCAACAGGGACAACCTCGTTGGCCCAAAAAACCCAAAACAAGGACAACCGCAAAATCCCATGATCCCACCAGGTCTTAATATTAAAAGACATCAAAATCAGTTCGAAGTCATTGTCAACTCGTTATCTCCCTTTTTATTGTCAACCTCTTTTCTCCCCTTAAACAACAATAAATAAGCATGGAAGTCGACCCTTTAAGTATTGGTCAAGGCAAACACTTAATTATAAAAATTTAGAAAGGTAATTGACTAAAATGAAAGTTTAGGAGGATGGCCAATTATAGAAGTATGGGGCTAATAAGCTAAAATTAATGTTCATGAAGAAATTAACAGCTCATTACAAGTTCGTGAAAATTTGACAAATACCTAAAATATAAATAAAGAGACCGTGGGGTGGTTGATGGTGGGGTTGGGTCATAGGAGCCTGCCAAGGTTAGGGTGTTCGTTGATAGAGATTTTCTTTTATATTTTTAATTCTTCATGTTTCGTTTTTGCATTTTTCATTGTTTGTTTTAATTCTTAATTTTATTTAGAACTAAAAGTGTTAAGTTGTTAAGATAAAGAGAGAAGGAGAGAAAGGGTAGGAAGGAGAAGAAAGAGGTAGAGAAAAGGATGAAAAAGAAAAAGGAGAAGAGATAAAGGAGCAGTACAAACAAGGAGATAGAGAATTATTTTTTAATTATAATTATAGAAGGGTAAAATTATAAATGTAAAAGTAATTAAGAAAACGATCCACATTTCTGCTATATAGATAAGTTTTGTCCCTCTCTCTAAAATAAATAAAAAACTTAACTTATCCTCTCTCCAGAATTTAGTCTAATAATTTGGATGTATGTGTAATTTGATCCTTAAAAATAAACAGGAATTTTCAATATTTTTAATCAAAAGATTGTTAATCAGAAAGATGTTTCTATTGTCCTTCTAGGCCGTTTGAGACTATTTTTATACGTTTGTTCATAAACACCTTTTAGAGTGATTTTTCTAGAAGTGCTTTCCAGAAAAGCATCGATCAAAGAAGCACTTGCATAATCTAGAAGCATTTTATGTTTTTCGCTGTATATAATATAAAACGCTTTTCATTAACTAATACATGATTCAAATTCGCAGTCTCACAAGATAAACATCTAATGTTGATGAAACCAACATTGATTGGAGTGTGTCAAAGACTACTGGAAGGAGTGAAATTTCAGAAGTCCATAAACTCAGAGATTCAGTACCAAAATATCAACTTATTAAAGGTAGAGCACGACGTTCGGATTTCTTTTACCACACATTACAAAGGTCCATGGGAAATGACAACATCTTAAACCAAACGAGAAGAAATAACAAGGTCCTGTCCATAGCAGTTAGACAGGATCGGCAACACCAGAAACAAATGCATACTAAAGCGATAACAAGCAGACAGACAGCTTCATTGGCACATATTACAGTTCAATGCTGCTATTCAACGGCCAGCGGAATGGACTTCACCTGAAAGATGATCAAAATGCGGTCAGCAGCATATCAGGGAAAGAGATCTCTATCATTTCAATTCAATCAACTCTCTTTAACCATATAAGAGTCGAATCTGCAAGGTGCAGTAAATAATCAATTCATAAGTTTTTTTCAGTTATATTATTAAATAAAACTAATTCATGAGTTATACGGAATCTATGGAATGCCAGTGCCATTTTGTGCATGAAGTAATACTAGGAAGGATATTATAAGATTACTAACCAGATTTCTGTACTTAAGAATGTAAAACATCTCCAGATATCGCCTTGTCTCTCGCCTCTCAAGCTTAGACACATGCTTCCAGAAGCCATAAACCCCAGCTAATGTGAGCAGCCTCTCTGAATATATCTTCCAAGTGTACCTACAGAATTGAGCTTGAGATTAATTACACTGAGGTTGACAAAGATTGTCTTTTCAAAAGTCTGCCAAAAAAATATGAAACCTTTCATAAATTCGTTTAAGTCCCGCTTGAGATATCTTTTCCCAGTAGCCAGGTTCCTTCTGGCACCGATCAAAGAAGTCAATCAGAAGTTCAGCCACTTGATCAGGGTTATACGGATCAACATGGAACCCAGAGGAACCGTGCTCAATGATCTCAGCAGGGCCACCATGACAAGTTGCAAAAGTAGGAAGGCCACAGGTCATGGCTTCCACCACGGTGAGGCCAAAAGCTTCATAGAAAGCAGGCTGAAAAGGATAAGAAGATGGGTTAAAAAAATGGAATTATAATACTAGAATAAACCATCATATATCTACTTCACATACCTGCACAAAGACGCCTTTTGTGTCTGCAATGTAGCGGTAGAGCTCACCATTACGAGCACGGTTCATCTGTGCTGCTATCCATCGGAACTGACCACTCAAGTTGTATTTCTTAATGAGGTCATGCATCTTTTCAATCTCTGCAGTTTCTTCTCTATCCCTAGAGTTCTTGACATCCATGTAACCACCAACCACAACAAGGTTTACCATTTCTCTTAGCTTGGCGCTCTTAGCATAGCACTCAACAAGTCCAGTTAAATTTTTCACTCTATCAAGTCTTGCCATGGAAAAGACAATAGGCTTTGATCTGTCACTTAACAGCCCACTGCATCACCATCAAACGAGTATCAGAGGATTGAGTGATGAAAATGAAGTACATGTAAGTTGCAACCCTGATATCTATAAAATCTCAATGCCACTCAAAAGAGGCTTAAATTGTTTATCAGAAGTTCTTTACTTAAACATTAGAAGATACTCACATATGCTCATCGTTCTGCTCGGCACCATACAAGAGTTCTTCAATTGACCCATGTAGAGCAGTAAGCCTTTTTTCCTTGTCAGAATATGGAAAGTATATACACATATCTGCTCCTGGGGAGACGATATTGAACTTGGGATCAAAAACATCAATTCCATGAACAACTCGATACAGCCCAGGAAGAGTGAAGGCAGTGTGGCTTTCATACTGTCCAACGTTATTTTTGCTGAGATAATGAACAAGAATATTAATGTTTAGTCCAAGAAACAAAAGTGACTAGAATCCAGGGAGAAGAATAATGGCCCACGTGCTGCAACTTCATTGTGACAGACAAGTCTTTGAATTTGTAAACCATAAACGAAACTTATATCGTATGACTATATTTCAAGTGAAAAACCAGGTCGTAGATTAAAAAATGGAGATTAAAAAGAATTAGACGAACAATATAGTCAATTCATGTTCCCAAAGAACTAGAAGAACAATCTAACCTTCCAGCAATCTCTTGGTATGTACTGGTGATTATGAAATTTGCATTGTTCATTGCAATGAGATCGGCTGTGAATTGACTTGAAAAATGGTACTTATCCTCATGCTTCTTCCAAAATATATCAGAATCTGGGTACTTTGTTTTCTCCAATGCATGAGCAATATTGCACTACATGGAGAATTCAGTTTTGACAAGTTAACTCCAATATATGCCCACTGTTATGCCACCACTCTATGTGTTGCATCTGAAATAATGAATAAAAAACTAAAATTCACCTGTGTGATTCCCAGTTTATAAGATAACAGAGTTGCAACAAGATTTCCATCACTATAGTTTCCAATGACTAGATCTGGAACACCTTGCAACTCAGCGGCAATTTCATTCGAGGCATCCTAGAAATCGCACAATAAGAGAAAAAGAGTGTGTTATATAATCCGTAAGTAGTTAAAGAACCCAACAGCGTGCATCATAAAAGTGAAGTGCTCGAGCAGTGAAAAAGGGGACAGAAAAAGGAATAAGGGGAGATTAAACAAGAGCACACCCAAAAAGAAAAAGAAAACAAGTTATATACTTTCGACTGCTTACCTCTGCAAAGGTCTCCAAGTAAGGCCACACATCAAACCTTGAAATCCATTTCCGCAGTATCCCATTCTCAGTCCTGAAAGGTACCCGCAAGATATGTGTGTATTCTGTACCACTTACTCTTTCCAATCTTTGGTTGCATGTTGTCCCTTTTGCATCCGGTATTAGTCGGGTAACCTACCATCATCAAGTAAACGAACAGGACACAGTATAAAATATACACAACACCTTATGTCAACTAATATAGCATGAACTTTCAGTTTAAGCGAACTTACAATCAGAATTTTTGGAATAACGTCCAATCCTTGATTTTGTATTCTAAGAAGCATCTCACTCTCCAGGGCACGCACTTGATCCAGTATATAAACAACCTGCCATCAGTAATAAAAGAAAAACATTTTCATGGGTTTAGGACGAGAAGATTCGTAAACTATTGGACCTATTGATATTCTAGCAGACAAATATAAAGATGTAGGAAAGGAAGAACCCAAAACAAACAAATGGATGTTAAATAGTCAAAAGCAAGCAGTACCTGCCCTCCAGTGTCAGGCAAACCCAAGACGTTAGCTTGGCCAAAGTAGCCATGTGGCGACACTATGACAACATTGAACACCATAGGGATCCTCCCAAGAAAATTTTCCAGGGTAGAGGGATCTGGAGCCTGAAGAATTTCCAAGAGAAGATGCACCATCTCTGACACCCGTTGTGCTGTGTCACCCCACCCCTCTCTCAAATCCCATTCCTTGTAAGCTGCACAAAATATAAAGAAGATTAAAGGTACCGGCTAAAGCAATCATATTATCCCTCTATAGGAGTGGAGATCAAAGTGTTGAAATTAGATGATTTGCCTACTCAAATTCAAATTCAGAATATGATGTAGTTGGCGGGAACTTGGAAAGATATTCCTCTGCCTTTGCTAAAGCAGACTGAAGTCTGGGTATGCTCTGAATCCGATCGTTTAGCATCATTGCCTACACAAAATTTTGGAACTAATATCATTCAGTCCAAAGGTATGATTATTTCACAACCTTACTGTCATATTACTTCAAGTATGGCTTTATGTGGATTTAGGTCAAGGAAAATATACAAAACCAAAAGCTTACACTAAATCTGAATGCAAAAGGAAAGACGACCAGTAAAATAAACCAAAGGGCCAAAAAAAATTAGCATGATAACTGAAAAGGTGAAATGATCATTCATGCAAAGCCCATATCTTACTCAAACTTACATGTCCATCATGTTTGTGTGTACGAAGAAAATCGAGAAGAGGCTCCAAACTTTCTTTGTTACGGAACATAACTGAAGATAAGTGACGGTTAAGGAATTGAACCCCATTTCCAATTGATGACGAGCGGGTTGGTCGAGGGAATGATGCATTAAATGGCTCCAGATCAAGTTCAAGCACATACTTATCGTTGCACCTAGGACAATGATTTCATTTTAAGACTGCAGTAATGTATAATTGAATTGAAAGAACAAATAAAAACTGTCTAGTTCTCCAGATAAGTAAGTTGAAAGACTCGGCATTGTTGAATTATGGCCAAAACAAGCCATCACCTTTCGGCTAATAAAGAAATCTAAAGAAAAAAAAGGTTAAAGACAAAATGATGAGAAAACATCATGATTAGGAGGCATCATGATGATGTTTTTTTTTCTTTTGTGGTTTTTTTATTACCATAATTATTGTTGTTGTTTCGGGTAGAAGAGAAGAGAGTGAGGGCTCATTTTTGTGTAGAGAGCAGAAGAGAAAAGAGTGAGTTGCCGAGAGAAGGAAAGTGCCCAAACAGAAAAAAAGAAGCTGCTGCTTCATTTGGTTAGTAATCATTCACCAAAGTAGTTGTTGTTGTAATAGCTTTGAGCTATATGTATAGAGAAGAAATTATTCATTATATTTCTTTCTCTATTTGTTTATGTGTGTGTGTGTGAGAGCTATTTGGTGTATTGGGTTATTTGGGTTGGTTGAGTGAGATTGCCAACACTTTGTAAACTCCCATTTGGTTGATAGTGGATTATTGGGTGAGCTCCTACTGCTCCGAGGACGTACTCCAGTTACACTGACTGTTGAGGAACCTCGTTAAAATCTTGGTGTTCTTTAATATTTTGTTCTTGCATTTAATTTGATAAATTTCCTGTGGGTTAGCTTGAGTTGGTTCCAACGGGTTTGGTGCTATCCTAGCACAACAATTTGGTATCAGAGCACTGGTTGCTCTTGGGTACTGTCTAGTTTGCCAAAGATGTCAGACGGGCAAGATGAGAATCCTTTTTGGAAGCACCTCCGGGTTTGCAAGAAACTACGGTGCAAAATGCAAAGTTCGAAGTGGAAAAGTTTGATGGCACAAACAACTTCGGGATGTGGCAATGTGAGGTCAAAGATTGTGTTGGCTCAACAAGATCTACTTGCCGCTTTGGGAGAGAAGCCGGAAGCTATGTCGAAGCCGGAATGGGAGAAATTAAATTTATGGGCTTGCTCTTCAATTCGGTTGTGCCTTGCAAAAACTCAGAAGTATTTTGTGATGCGAGAGAGACGGTAGCAAGTGTTTGTTGTGGCAAAAAATTGGAAGACAAGTATATGACAAAGAGTGCAGAGAACCGGCTACACTTGGAAGAAAAAGCTCTACCGCTTCCAATACAAAGAAGGTACAAAAATGATTAGACACCTTGATGCTTTTAATAAGTTGATTGCCGACTTGTTAAATTTAGATGAGGATATTAAGGATGAAGATAAGGCCTTAATATTGTTGAATTCCTTGCCGGACTCTTATGAGCATTTTGTTACCACTATTATGCATGGTAAAGAAACTGTGAAATTTGAAGATGTGTCAAATGCCTTGATGAATTATGAAATGAGGCATAGAGATAAAAATCATGATGGTACCTCTGAAGCTTTATTTGTTAGAGGTAGATCATCGGAGAGAAGATCATCTTCTAGCAGAAAAAAATCACAGTCTCGACCTAGAGGAAACTCTAAAGGTAGAAAACCTTTGGAAATGGATGAATGTGCCTTTTGTCGTAATAAGGGCCATTGGAAAAATGATTGTCCTAAATTTGAAGACCAAAGGCAAAGAAAGTTTTCTGAAGCTAATGTTGCTGAGGTTGAAACAGATTTTTCTGATTTTGCTTTTAACCACTTCCCCATCATTTTGATTGTGCTACTAAGTGGGTGTTGGATACGGGTTGTACTCATCATATGACTCCTCACAAGGATTGGTTTTCAAGCTTGAAAGAGTTTGATGGTGGCGTTGTGTTTCATAGGAGATGACAATCCTTGCACAACAAAAGGGATTGGTACAGTTCGTTTTGAAGTTGCATGATGGCATGGTTAAAGAGTTGACAGTGTGTTCGGTATGTACCGAATTTGAAGAAAAATCTTATTTCTTTGGGTACTTTGGAATCCAAAGGGTTTCAGGTTTCATTCAGATGGACAGACATTGAAAGTTACTTATGGTGCACTTGTTGTGATGAAAGCTCCTAGATGTGGCCATTTGTATTTATTGCAGGGAAGCACTGTGACAGGTGAAGCATCTGTAGTCTCTGAAAATATGGGCACATCTGATTCAGATACTACTAGATTGTGGCATATGAGATTAGGCCATGCCGGTGAGAAAGCTCTACAAGGGCTTGTGAAACAAGGTCTTCTAAAAGGTGCCACGACTTGTAAGCTTGATTTCTGTGAGCATTGTGTCTTGGGGAAGCAAACTAGAGTGAAGTTTGGTACTGCTGTACATCAGACGAAGGGCATTCTTGATTATGTGCATTCGGATGTTTGGGGTCCTACAAAAGACTCCCTCTTTGAGTGGTAGACATTGGTTCGTGACCTTTTGTTGATGATTATTCAAGAAGGTCTTGGGTCTACACTATGAAGCACAAGAGTGAGGTGTTAAGCATTTTCTTGGGTTGGAAGAAAATGGTTGAGAACCAGACTGGGAGAAAGATTAAGATTTTGAGATCGGATAATGGGTGGTGAATACACATCCGATCCTTTCTTTAAAGTTTGCAAAGAGGAAGGAATTGTGTGAGACATTTCAGTGTTCGGGGAACTCCACAACAAAATGGAGTTGCAGAAAGATTGAATCGAACCTTGCTTGAGAAGGTTAGATGTATGTTGTCTCAGTCGGGTTTAAGCAAGTCATTTTGGGCAGAAGCAGTTAATTATGCATGTCACATCATCAACCGGTTACCCTCAGCTGCTATTCAGGGTAAGACACCAATGGAGGTATGGACTGGAAAATCTTCTTCTGATTATGACTATATCCGTATTTTTTGTTCACCTGCTTATTTTCATGTGACTAAAAATAAACTTGATCCTAGAGCCAAAAAGGCTATCTTTCTTGGTTTTAGTAGTGGTGTCAAAGGTTACAGGTTGTGGTGCCCAGAGATGAAAAAACTTGTAATCAGCAGAGATGTGACATTTGATGAAGAAAGTATGTTCAAAGACTCTGAGAAAAATGTGAAAGATGTCCAACAGGTGGAGCTTGAGAAAGTTGCCTCTGGTACTTCAAATCCTATTTCCGCTGATGTCGAAACCACTACAAGTGAAGAAGTTGGAGGCCATGAGGATGTTGAAGAAGTTGAACTTGAAGATTCTATTCAAGTTGAAGAACAAGTTTCACCTCAAGAGTCTATTGCCAAGAACAGAGGAAAGAGACAAATTACCAAGCCAGCTCGGGTATATGTGATTATGTTGCTTTTGCTCTTCCTATTATCACTGAAGAGATTCCATCCAATTTTTGAGGAAGCTATTGAGAGTGAGGAGAAGAATAGGTGGTGCAATGCCATGGGTGATGAGATGAATTCTCTCTTGAAGAACAAAGACTTGGGAGTTAGCTAAATTGCCTAAGGGCAAGAAAGCTATTGGTTGCAAATGGGTGTATGCCAAGAAGGAAGATGCTGATGAGAAAAAGCAATGTGAGATTTAAAGCAAGATTAGTTGCTAAAAGGTATGCACAAAAGGAGGGCATTGACTACAATGAAATATTTTTCTCCAGTTGTGAAGCACTCCTCAATTCGTATTATGTTAGCTCTTGTTGCACAATATGATCTTGAGCTTGTGCAACTCGATGTGAAGACGGCTTTCCTACATGGTGATTTGAATGAAGAGATCTATATGTGTCAACCGGATGGGTATATAGTGAAAGGGAAGGAAAATTTGTTTTGCAAATTGAAGAAATCGCTTTATGGCTTGAAGCAATCTCCAAGGCAATGGTATTTGAGGTTTGATAAATTTATGAGAGGCCAAAATTATTCTAGAAGTCAATATGATCATTGTGTGTACTTCAAGAAGTTGCAAGATGGGTCTTTCATTTATTTATTGATATATGTTGATGATATGTTGATTGCCTCAAAGAATGTTGAGGAGATTGAGAAATTGAAGAAACAAATGAAGAATGAGTTTGAGATGAAGGATCTTGGTGAAGCAAAGAAAATCCTTGGCATGGAGATCACTAGAGATAGAGAGAAGGGTTTGGTCAGTTTGAATCAAAGACAATACCTTGAGAAGTTGATTCGGAAGTTTTGGAGTTCATGATTCAACCAAAACCGGTTAGTACCCCTTTGGCTCCTCATTTTAAATTGAGTTCTCTACAGTGTCCTAAAACTGATAAAGAGAAGCTGCAAATGAAAAAATATACCATATGCAAATTTGGGTTGGTAGTTTGATGTATGCAATGGTATGCTCTAGACCGGATATTGCTCATGCAGTTGGCATGGTGAGTCGATATATGCATAATCCAGGTAAAGAGCATTGGCAAGCAGCTAAATGGATATTGAGATATCTCCATGGTACTCGAGATGTTGGTTTATGCTTTGAGAGGGATGACTCTGGTATTGGTCATTTTGCAATTGGTTATGTTGATTCAGATTATGCAGGTGATCTGGATGGAAGGAAGTCTACTACAGGCTATGTGTTTACTATGGCTAAAGGACCAGTTTGTTGGAGGGTCCATTTTGCAGTCGTCTGTTGCCTTGTCTACTACAGAGGCTGAATATATGGCAGTTGCTGAAGCTATAAAGGAGGCCATTTGGATACATGGGCTGATTAGAGATTTGGGGGTTGATCAGAAGCAGGTGGAGGTACATTGTGATAGTCAGAATGCCATTTATTTGGCTAAGTATCAGGTTCATCATGCGAGGACCAAGCACATAGATGTGCGTTATCACTTTGTTCGTGAAATTGTTGGTGAAGGGGAAATCATTCTCCAGAAGATTCCAACTAAAGACAACCCCGCTGATATGTTGACTAAGGTTGTTGGTGTAGCCAAGTTTGTTCACTGTTTGAACTTGGCTCACATTATGCCTATATAAAGAAGGCGTTGAGCAGTAGGAGTTTTTTGGGAGCATTTGGCTCGGCATGAGTTGTTCTCTTGCTAGTGTTTGGGAGTGATTTTTTGGGTCAATTGTGTTGGTTGGCTTATCATGGCGTTTTCGGAATTTGGCCAAGGTGGAGATTGTTGAATTATGGCCAAAACAAGCCATCACCTTTCGGCTAATAAAGAAATCTAAAGAAAAAAAAGGTGAAAGACAAAATGATGAGAAAACATCATGATTAGGAGGCATCATGATGATGTTTTTTTTTCTTTTGTGGTTTTTTTATTACCATAATTATTGTTGTTGTTTCGGGTAGAAGAGAAGAGAGTGAGGGCTCATTTTTGTGTAGAGAGCAGAAGAGAAAAGAGTGAGCTGCCGAGAGAAGGAAAGTGCCCAAACAGAAAAAAAGAAGCTGCTGCTTCATTTGGTTAGTAATCATTCACCAAAGTAGTTGTTGTTGTAATAGCTTTGAGCTATATGTATAGAGAAGAAATTATTCATTATATTTCTTTCTCTATTTGTTTATGTGGTGTGTGAGAGCTATTGGGTGTATTGGGTTATTTGGGTTGTGAGATTGCCAACACTTTTTAAACTCCCATTTGGTTGATAGTGGATTATTGGGTGAGCTCCTACTGCTCCGAGGACGTACTCCAGTTACACTGACTGTTGAGGAACCTCGTTAAAATCTTGGTGTTCTTTAATATTTTGTTCTTGCATTTAATTTGATAAATTTCCTGTGGGTTAGCTTGAGTTGGTTCCAACGGGTTTGGTGCTATCCTAGCACAACAGGCATAAATTACAAAATTCAGTAACAAAGATTAAGACAGGAGATCCCTCACTCTCCGTCCATAAGCTCTTCCTTGAACCGAAGAAATTCAGCAACACTCAAATGATCCACACTAAGTTCATACACATTAACTCGAACATACTCCCAAACACCAGGCCTTGGACGAAGGGCAAAAGCCACGAAAGGTGCCAGGACAATTGCTTCCTAGATATATACAAGCATAGACCAAACTCAGAAAACCAGAACAGCAAATGCGACTTTCACTAGCCATGCAGAATGAAGATTTCTGCTTTCTTGGTACCAAATAATGAAAAATTGTAACTTCAAATTGCAACATTTATTTGTCAATTTCTCAGCAAACAAACAGATAATAGAGCAACATCCTAAAAGGAAAAAGAAAAAAAACAGTAGCAATAATTGTAGGAAATTGACCTGAGCAGACTGTAAGACTTTGCTGAAGGAGCTATCTTTGAGCTTCTGCATGCCTTCATCCTCCATGATCACGTTTTCGAGCTCGTTTATCATTTGATGGGGTTGCAGAATCCCATTTTCTCGAGCAACATACCTTCCAACACAACAAAACATCAACTTTCTCAAAACCCCACTCAATTCCAACCCAAATTACCCTCCATTTGAAATGCAATGTGAGAGAGAGAAATATGTACCTGGAGAGAAGAGAAACGAGCTCATTGCGGTGAGCAGCGAGGGTGTCCTGAATGGTGTTGCGCATGGCTGTGACTGGAGGCTCCGGCGAGACAAAAGAGGTTGACGGCGGAGCAAATCAGAAAAGGGAGAGAGGTGAAAGCGAAGGTGAGGAGGAGAGGAGGGGCGCAGAGCAAATATAAATAGGGAAAGAGGAAAGCGAGAGGGGAGGAAGGAAACAAAAACGGCCATTGTTTTGCTGTGATCAGAGAGAGAGAGGAGTGAAAGGGTGATAAATGTGACGGGGCACCTGTCGGTGTTTCAGCGGCTGCATGCATGCCTCTGGAGGAGTCCTGACACTTCTTCCCTCGCGATTGAAATCATAACGGAAGTTTTTGGCGTCGAGGCGGAGATCTCTATGGCTGTGAACTGGGCTGCATTTGGGCCTTATTAAATTACGGGTTCTAAGGTAATTTTTGGGTTACAAAAAAACCACCCGAATCATTTGACCGGGAATAAAAACAACATTTATATGCCTTGTGTAAAATTACCACAATTAAAATTAAAAAACTTATCGATATTCATTTGAAACAATTAACAAAGTGTATTTGACACACCCCGTCCCGAAGGAGGGCATGCTGGCCGTCACGTGAGAGTGACGTAACCATTTGCACAGTACGGAAGCTTTAATTATACAATTTATAAGTTGATACACCCGAAGGTGAGTCCTAATTTTGTCCAATCTGTCAGAACACCGTCGAATTCCTCGTAGTCACCACACCTTTGTGATTCCTGAACCTGGAGGGGCGCAAAACCAAAATTGAGTGGGTCAGTAAAACAATTCTTTTCCAAATCCAAACATTTTTCAAAACGTTGTAACCCCTCTCCGTAAAACCTGTATATTTTCCCAGAAATGTAAAATATAATTATACATATATATTCTCAATACTTTAATTCATTAACTCAACATTTTTTTCTTTATCAATCATGCCATGCCATGTCTAATTCAACAGTTAAGTATGGATGCATCAACAATAATCATATCAGGTGCAAGAAAGTAATCAACCGGAGGCCCTCTAATAGCCTTGTACGGTTGAACCTAGAGCTCAAAATCTATCATTATCACTCTACCGGAGTCACCTCTGTGACCCGTCCGGCCTTCTGCACACAAGTTACGCTCTAGTGCTTCTCATAAATCATCTGTGCACATAATCTAAGGTCACCCACCAGTCGGAATCTCACTAACACTCTCGCGACTGGTCTGTCGTACCCACTCCGCGTGGACTGTACGACTAGCATCTACTTGGATCCAAGGCGAGCGTGCGATGCGGTGAATACTATAAGCACTAAACCATGGTGCAGGATTTGAGCTCAATATATATCATCATCATCATAACAGTAATTAAATACCCACCTGTGCGTCCACCGCACCATTTCATACATATGCATCATAAATCAATTCTTACCTGTGCGTCCACCGCACCAATTCATACATATGCATCATAAATCAATTCTTACATGTGCGTCCACCGCACCAATTCATACATTTGCATCATATATTAATTCATGCATGGCATTTCAACTCACATTTCTATATACTTTTCATATCAATTCTATGCATGGTATTTCACTTCCCGTTTTTCCACATAACTCATATGCATTTCATTTTAAACATATTTTCATTTCAATTCAATTTCTGGGAAACGTCAAGTATATATATATATATATACGGAAAACAAAACTGCCCACTCACCTGGAGTTCGCCCTACAACTCCCTAGCACAATACGCCAAGGCGTCATGACGATCGGCGCCTAAAACAATAATCAATTCCAACCTCAGAATTCATATCGATAGAATATATAACTTATATAAAATACGTCACTACGTAGATTGATCCGGAAGATCCACCCCTCAGATTTTAAATCCATAACTTCCAGAGGTCCACATTATACCTCTAGGACAACATCCTAAAATTTCATTACCATCCAACGGTCGGATCTCCGTCAATTTCCAAAACTAAGTGACGGTTAACATTTTATATTATGGACTTACAATTCCAATTCCGGAAGATCCGTAACTCGGATTCCCAATCCGTAAGTTCCAATAATCCTCAAATATTACGTATTACAACGTATCAAAGTTTGGTGACGATCCAACGGTCGGATCATCAATTCACATTTTCACCAAAACTATAAAACGTTATTCGAACACCTAACCAACAATCCTTAATAACTTTCTCATACGGTGCTCAAATTGGGTATATGAATATACCACGGTGATCTACTCGACGTCACGGACGTCGACATATTTTTAAAATAATTTTATTTTTATTTATTTTTTTACTGTAGCACCTTCTTCTTCCTTGGGTCGCCGGACTGGTTTTTCCGGCGGCCGTTTTCTGAACAGTTTTTCAAATTGCCATAACTTTGTCATTTCTCAACGAAATCAAGTGCTTCAAAAACGAAAGTTGTAGCCCTTGAAGAGACAAAGAGAATGGTACCTTTCCCAACACCTAGTTCGCCGTAGTTTGGCCGGAAACTGCCTCGAAAGCCTCGGAGGTCGCCGGAAACTGGGTATTTTTCAAATGAGTATAACTTCTTCAATACTCAACGAAATTGAGTGAAACAAAAAGGAAAGTTGTAGTACTTGACGAGACGAAGAGATTGATACCTACCTCGACGCCTAACTCGCCGGGGATTCGCCGGAAAATTCCTCGAAAGCTCCGGCCAAACTTTGAACTTATCGATCTCCGTGTTCTTACGTCCAAAAAACTTCCAACGAAGCACTCCGAGCTTCCTTGGAACCTCACTAAGCTCACTGTGAGCTTGGATTGTCCTAAAACAAAGTCAATTCGAAGATCATGAACAGTGCACTTTCATGGGGAGTTTAGAATCTAGGTTTTCCGAAGTAAAACTTACCTGAAATTGGTGTCTACGTGATCGTGGAGTCTCCAGGAGTTCGATGGTGGTCTAACTCCGTCGTTGGTGGAAGTTTAAGGTTGTTTTGTGGTTGGTTTGTTCGAACGGAGAAGAAGAGTGACAGAGAGAGAGAGATTCGTGAGGGAGGAGAGAGAGAGACAGTATGCAGAAAATAGGGAGAGGATTGAGGGGTGTGGGGATCCCACATGTCCAACTCAATCCAAATTGTTAAATTTTCGCCCCTTAGTCCCGTTTAAGGGCATTTTCGTCTTTTCATGTCCTCGGAATTAAAATTCCGGGACGGGCTGTGACAGTATTGATATCATATTTTTTTGGTAATGAAGAACCTAAAAAGTTTTATAGTCCCAAAATTTAAAAAGGAAATTGTTATTGATACTCCACAAATCTAATTTTGCACTTCAAATTTTCTATAATTGGAAAGAAAAATACACTTGTGAGGAGTGTAGAATGAAATTTTTAGAGTGTTAATAACAGTTTTCCATAAAAATATGTTGATTCCTATCGGCATATACTCCGAGTAGTCTGTAAAATTTGAGAAGCACAATTGTACTTTTCGATGTTTAATATGAAAGATTATTGGATCAAACTATAACTAGAATACCTAAACTAGCTACTTCCAAATTTCCAATATATGGTTATGCTTATGCGATATACAGCCTTATTGTATACGATCGAATTAGTTATTTTAAATATATACTAGCATATGGGCACACATAAAGTGTGTGAGAAAATTTTTTATTTTTATTTTTGAAATAGAAGGAAAGAGAAAGAGAGTGATAGAGAATGTGGGAGTGGGAAGTTTTTTTTTTTTTTTTTTTAATTTTTTTTAATTAGAGATACGTTACGATTACATGTAAGTGAGGCTTTGAAAAAAAAAAGAAAATTTTGGTTATGTGAAATTACATTTCTGCCCCATATTTCTTATTCATCTTCTATTTTAATTAGAGGGTTAAACTGGTAATTTCAAGGGTTTTGGTTGACAATGAGTGTTTTATTAATTAGTAGATATATATATATATATATATATATGGTTATGCTTATGCGAAAACTAGAATGAACCTCCATGTTAGTTCAATTAACACTACTACTAAAACAAGCTTTCATGATCTCTTACCAACATCATTGATCAATGTATAATTTATAAGACACATAGAGCACTATAATCTACATAGAGAAGAATATGGTGGCATACAATCTTGCGAATTTGAGCTATAACATAAATCATGAGTGCTATTTTTTAGAATGGATTGGAACTCATTTTTTTTAATGATGTGATAAGGGTCACTAGGACTTGAATTGTTTGTAATAACTCTTTTAACTAGTTTTGAGGTGCTTCACCACCCTGTGTTACCAAAATAAAAATGAAACCACTAAGTTTTGCTCTATGTAAAGCTTTTTTATATAGGTCTATCCCCGATCATAATAGATAGATGAAGCAATACCCCGTACATTTTTAAAATTTAGTGCATGGCTCCTCTCTGTCAATATTCCACTGCATGATTGAAACAGGACAAATCATGGGAGCTATTTGTTTGTTTTCAATTTTCAGTTTTTATTTAAAAAAAAAAAACTAAAAAGTACAAAATGAAATGATCATTATCAAACCAACCTTTAATTAATGGTAAGAACTTATAAGAAACTCTTACTTTATTAGAAACCTAATTAAACAGGTTGAGAGTATATACATCGATCATGCATATCCATAGCAGATATACAGAAGCAGCAACAAAAATCTGATAGCTTCTTTGTCATGCATGAGCTATCACCATGCTGCTCATTCACCTGGAGCATGTTTGACGCCAAATAAAATGCAACCAACTCCTAGATTATATGTAATCTACAGGGATGCAAGTGTGCCACTTGTTAAAATCCCAGTGGTGGGTGAAAAAGAAAATCATGGATTTAAATATGATTACCTCATTCTAACTAATATCGAGACTTTTTGCGGAAAAACACCACACCTAACGGATTGGGCAGGCGTTAAAGTTGGGGACAGTATCGATGTCATTAGAATGAGACCTCACGGGCCCGCCGATCCAAAAATCCAACAACTTTGACCATGTTTGATACTGGGAAGGATAAGACCACTAAACAGATTCCGGAAACCTTAAAAAGAAGACTACTAGTTTGAGGCCTAAACCGAACCAATCCGGATAAACAGCGGTCCTAGTTGAGGCCTTATACAATGGTTCAGAGAATTAAAATTCTGGGACCTCACTTTATATTGTGTGGAGAGAATGAGCATGTATGCAAGTCCTCCTCTTTTTATGGACCAGTAAAAGGTGGAATCTTGTGCGACTCGTTGCTATTTAATGAGGAACCTTAACTTCTACTAATAACATTAATATCCCTATTTGTTGGTCCTTAATTTCTAAGTTCTCTCATAAACATGCCACTCTACGTTTCTAATCCTTCTCCTAGTGAAAGTCATTCACCGTTTGTTTCTGATATTCCAAAGACGTGAAGAACCACCCAGAAACAGGCAGGAGGTTATTTCAAATCCATTAAATAAGGATGATAAGCATGACAAGAAACCAGTCAGTTCTTGTTCAATTCCAAAGGACACGGATATATACAAAATTGAAGTTCCAGATCAAGATTGTTCCGCGTTCTTACGTAGTACAAGGCCGCACAGACTTATTTCAAATCCAATTTTCCCTTTTGCAGCATCATTTGAATAATAAAGGGAAAAAGTGAAACTAGAATAAAAACCCTAGCAGACTGTGTATGTCTTTTCTAATTTTAATGTATGTCCCTTCCTCGTTTAATAAAGAAGT